GGGGCGAGGTCTGCGCCGAGACCCCGGCGCTCGTGTCTGCTTTCCCGCTTGTGGCTCTTGCCAAGCGCAGACTTTGCCTCCCACTCTTAGTTCATTCAGACATCCTTGGAGCAACTGTTAAATGCCAGGCGCTGAGAACTCAGCATTAAATTCTGCTCCCCCACCCCCAAAATCTCTCCCATCTTGGGGGCTGCATGCAAGGGGGGTGTGTGAGAAGGACTTTCAGCGAGTGAAATGAATGCTCGAATTAGTAGTGTTACAAAGAAAATAAAAGAAGGTAATAAAATAAGGCCAGGCGCGTGGCTGCAGGAATTCACTTTGGAAGGATGTCAGTCATCTCAGAACCTGTCTCTCTGCAAATCCCCTGTGCCTGGGGCTTGTAAGGACGCTTCTGATGGCCTTGGGCCTGCCTGGGCGATCCAGGACACTCTCTGCATCTCCAGGGCCTTCATTTAGTCTCATCTGCAAAAGCCTTTTGATGGTTTAACGTAACATTCACAGGTCCCAGGGATTGAGACCTGCATAGGGTTGCAGGCCATTAATCAGCCAGCCGCAGGGAGCCTCTCAAATGCCTACAGTTGATTCCAGGGAACAAAAACGAGGCAGGAGGGCCAGGTGTGGCTTGTGGAGCTCATCTAGAGAGGGGGAACCAGTACCCTGCTCCACCCAGCGCTTGGATCTGAGTCCAGGTCTTCTAAAATTCATTCTCTTGATTTTTAATTCGACTTTTAAAAAGAAAAAAGTATTTATTAAAAGGGTTAAGCGGCATTCAGCAGCCTTCAAACCCAACAGGAGTCCTTCCTTGAACAATCCATGAGTTAGGGCAAAACACCCTTCAGCATACATCAAGATATCCCCTTAGCTCTTGCGAGCAGAACTGGAGACTCATTTGGGATCACTAATGTGTGCAGAACACCAGGGCAGTGAGAACTAAGAGAAGAAAATTATTATAAATATAATAGACTCTGCATTTCAAAGGATATTGTTTAGAAACATTAACAAAAGCACCAGAATGATATAAAGTGGTCCTGATACAACAAGACCCTGATGTACTCATCACTACAGGCATTATTGTTGCTGTCTGATGCCTTCATATTGACGAAAATCTAAAAAATCTGTGCAGAAAAAATATATAAAACTTTGGTCTTCAAAAAAAGAAAAACTGTCGGTACAAGAAACAATTTGCCTGTTCTTGAGAACTTTCCCATCGATAATTTCATTTTTAAAAAAATGCTGTACAGACAGGTTTTGGTGTCAGCTGCCAGTTACAGACTTAGTCATTCAACAGGGTTGTCCCATATGGACACCACACCCCATCTCTCTCTCCTAAATCCCCTCCTGCTCTTATTGAAGCCCTACCCCCTGTTAAATCTCTCATCCTGGTTCCAAAGCCCTTCCCTCTGAAAGTCTTACCTTCCCCCAGGGACAGAGCAGGTTCTGTCCTTGGATCAGTTTTATTTGTCTTGAAAATTCAGCTCCAGCCTGATGCTCATCAGAGGAACTGTGTTCAGCTGCCGCTGGCCCAGAAGGAAGAAGCCATGGCTTTGGTCTGCAGGAAAGGTGCTCTCACTCCAGCTCAGACCCTGAGATCCCAAGAATCAGTTTCCTCACCTGCCTGCTTAAGAACCGCCACACTGTCCAAAGGGGCTGCCCCACTTCACACCCCCGCCAGCCGTGGGTGTGTGTATTTTACACCCTCCCATTCAAACTGATGTGTGGTTTGAGGAAGCTAAGCCTCTTCCCACCTCCGGACCTTTGCACACACTTCCCTCTTCCTAAAACACTTTCCCCGCACGACTCCTCACCCTTCAGCTCTCAGCTGAAATGTGACCTCTGCAGACAAGCCACCCCTAGCATCTCATCTAAGTCATGTCCACACACGATTTTCCATATCACTGAAATTGACCTTTACTTTAATGGGTAAATTGTTTTCTTTATTATGTATTTGTTGGTGTGTCTCCCCTAATAGAATGAAGGCCCCCTGTGTTCCTGGACCCATGTGTTCCCAGCCCCCTAGCACAGAGCCTGGTTCCAAGGATGGGCTCAATAACTGTTGGTTGAATAAATGAATGAATGAATGAACGAATTCATCCACAAATGATGGAGCTAAGAGAGGGCAGAGGTATTTCTGAAGTCTGTGTCCACACATAATAGATGCCCAATAAATTATTTGTGTTGCTGAAAAGGCTGCAAATAATAAAGATAGCACAACTACACACATGCGCACGCACACACACGAGTAACAGGCAGAAAGATGAATCTGCTCCTTTAAGAAAGACGTGAAGGGTGTCACTGTGGGTCTCATAAATCTCAACCCAAGTGCCCATGCAGCAGAGAGAGTTGCCTGGTCTTTTCCACTGTGCAATCTGCAAAGTGTCTCCTCTTCTTTCTGTTTTAATAGAAAAAAAAAAAATCACTCTGAGCACTTTGGTGCACTGAGCACTTTGGAACTCTAATTACAGGTGACACACAAATGGAAAGAAAAATAGGAAATCAAACATTGGAGCCAATAAGTTGCCATTTATATGGGCACTTAATAGCAACAAAGTGCCCTAAGCCACTCAGAATTATCTGAAGCACTTTGCAGACGGACATCACAGGAGCCGTCGTGGGGATGAAGTCAGAGATGTGTACAACGCGCCCGAGCTCTTCGGAGATGTGTCAGTGTTGTGAATCTTAACGTTCCATTTTCACGAGATTTCTCCAAGGTCAATGCCATGGAAGACCTGCAGTCTCTCGCTAGCCCACCTCTGCAGCCTGGACTCTCAACACTTTCCCTCCTCACCTCTAAGCTTTAATCGTCTCCACCTCTTACAGTTTTCCACCCCAGCATGCTCTCTCCTCCTTGGATCTCTCATTGCCTCTCGCCTGTACCTGCCTAACTCCTGCTTGGTTTTATTGTAGAGGTCACCTCCTCCAAGAAGCCTTTCAGGCCTTCCTCCTTCTCCAAACTGGGTTAAGACCCTAAGGTTGACTTCTGGTTCCCCATGTAAGGAGCTTGGAAGTCTCCGCTCTGTCCTAACAAGTAGAAAATGGAACAGACTGAAAAATCGGCAAGTCTTCTGGAATCTGTAAGAGAGCTGAGCGAACCGGGCAAATCACAGTTGCCAAGATTGGAGGAACAGGCAGGTGAATACAGGCAGTCCTGGTTTACTGGAGCAGAAACCCACAAGTGAAAACCACTCTAGGAACCAGTGCCAATGGTTATCAATTGCTCAAAAATAATAGTAGCAAGGTCCTAAATTGTACATGCTTATGTATATACCTTATGCATGTATATCTATGCCTAAGAATGCTTTATATATAAGTGAAATGATTGACAACAATGATACAAGGGCTGGGCAGAATTAGGATTATTTTATTATTATAAGGTCATCATACTACCAGTGACATTGTATATTGTTATTTGAAAGTGGACTTGGATTAGTTGTAAATGTATATTGCAAACTCTAACGCAACCACGAAAAAAGTTTTAAAAGAAGTATAACCGATACACTAAAAAAGGAGATAAAATGGAAACACATAAAATGATCAATTAAAACCACAAAAGGCAGCCCTAGCTGCTTTGGAAAAATGGCTAGAGCATTGGCCTGCAGCCTGAAAGGGCCTCAGGTTCGATTTTGGCCAAGGGCACGTACCTCGGTTCCAGGCCCGACCCCCAGCCCCGGCCAGGAGGCAACCAATCAATGTCTCTCTCTCGCTCTCTGTCTCTGTCTCTGCCTCTGTCTGTCTCTTCTCTCTCCCTTCCACTCTCTGAAAAGCAATGGAAAAAATATCCTCAGGTGAGAATTAAAAAATAAAAATAAAACCACGAAAGGCAGAAAAAGAGTGATGGACAGAAATAGGGACAAAGAACACAGGCAACAAATAGAAAATAGTAACACCTACCGCAGACATTGATCCAACTCTATCAATAATCACTTTCAACGTCAGTGGTCTAAATGCACCAAATTAAAAGACAGAGGTGGTTGGAGCGGATCAAAACACAAGACCCAAATATATGCTGTCTCCTTTGAGTATAAAGACACGTATAGATTAAAAGTAAATGAATGAAGGGAGTAACATACCTCGCTAACACTAGTCAAGAAAACGGGGTAGCTATGTGAATTCCAGGTGTGTTTTAAATGTTAAGGTGTGTTTTAGGGCCCAGCGTGTGGTCCATCCCGGTAAGTGTCCCACGCGAGCTTGAGAAGAATGCGCATTGTGCCGGATGCGTAGGCTACAGATGTCAGTTATACCCAAGTGACTGAGGGTGTGTTGACTTCCACTGTGTCCTTACGGATTTCCTGCCCCATGGATCTGCCCACTTCTGCTGATGAAGGGTGTTGATGTCTCCAACGATGACCGTGTGTCATCTATTTGTCCCTGTTGTTCCACCGGTTTTTTTCCTCACATAATTTGCTGCTCTGTTGTTAGGCACATACAAGTTAAGTACTGTTATG